CCCCAAAACCCCAAAACCCCAAAACCCCAAAACCCCAAAACCCCAAAACCCCGTAAATTTTCAAACAGCTTGAAATTAAGGAGAATTAAAGAGATTAGTCCTCGATAGTGCTACGAGGATCATTTTCAAAACTATCAGAATTGGAAAGGAGCTTACTCCTATACGCCATCTCTTGGCGGAATTCTTCCTTAGATGGCAGGCTTCCTTTGTACCAATCTGATGCCTTGATCTCTTCAATTCAGGGCCTCTCAAAAGGATTAGCTGAAAGCATCAAGTTTAAGAGGCTTTTTAACTCTTCTGAGAAAATGTCTTGTTTTTGATTCATTTTCTCATGAACACTCCAGAAATATCCATGGTTTCCAGTGCCCAGCAGTTTGTACAGCTGGTCATGAGGAGTTGCGCTCAAGAAGGGGGACTGACTGGTGACCATATTGAATAGAACAACTCCTGCAGCAAACAGGTCTGCAGAGCTTGATTCATATTCGTCTTTTCGAAATATCTCTGGTAGCATGTATGGGACTGTTCCTGATGTTGATCTGGTGAACTCCTCAGTGGTCGCTAACCCAAAATCTACTATTTTTAAAGTAAATTCAAGATCAAACATTAAATTTTCCGGCTTAATATCCTTATGAAAGACTTGGTTTGAGTGAATATACTCAAGCCCTTCTAGTAATTGGTGGAAAAGAAACCTTGAGAATTTCTCTCAAAATGGACCAGTTTTAGAGATGTAGAGGAAAAGATCCCCTTGGGACAAGAATTCCAAACCCAAATATGACATCTGCAGTCGCTCATTACTACTGTTTACTCATGCAACAGAGTCAGAGAATGAGACAAGGCTGACTACATTAGGATGTTTGAGGGACTTTAACATACTAATCTCGTTATTGAAGGGGGACAGCTTAAGGGACGGAAACCTATCCTTATTAATCAACTTAATCGCCACTTCTTCCTTAGTTTCCTTATGGTAAGCGTGGAAGACGATGCAGGAGCATCCGATTCCTATCTTCTCGAAACAGATATAGTTATCGCAGTGTATCATTGATTGTATTTTAATTAAATAATATAAGCCATTTACAATCGCGTTGCCTAAATGGGGTTTTGGGGTTTTGGGGTTTTGGGGTTTTGGGGTTTTGGGG